ATAGAGTGATTTTTCTGCTCTTCATTTGTTTAAAGGGGAGCATATGATATTTAAATACAAAAACCTTAGCTTATCTTTATCATACATTTTCATTTTAAGGCTAAAATTGCAATATGCATTTGTTTATTCACTAATTTACATTTTTCAGAGTTAACTCTGCCCGAATGTGTGATAAAGAATTCAGATGCACACAGGAAGCACTTAATAGTTAGTTGAGGGTTACTATTATTATTATTGTCATGTATAAAAAGATCAATAAGCTATGTTTCTTGTCTCACAGGTGGAAGATAAGGAGCAATCACTGGATTAGCAGCCATACCACACGGGATAAAAATGACGGTACACACTCAGTTCTTGAAACAACCAGGGTCACAGAGGAGGAAGTGATTGATTCTCGGGTAGGACAGGGGGACAAGGTGGGCCTTGAAGGTGCAGTAAAATTCCCCAAGACAGGAAAGGAGATAGGAAACATGTACAAAGGACGTCATGGACCTGGGAGCATTCGTGCACTTATCCACCCAATAAACATTTATTTAGCACCTTAATGTATTGGGCATTGTGCCAGGGGAGAAAAAAAATGCCCCCAACATCATTCCACCTTCATGGATCGTATCATCTAATGGGAGAGATCAAGAATAGACAAGTAAACAAACAAATAAATACCAGCAGCAATAGGTACTACGAAGGGAGAAAGCAGGATAAAGAGGAAGAGGATGACAGGAGAAATCTGCTTGTATAGGAAGTTAGGGAAGGCTTCTAGGAAGAGTCATATCTAAGCTCAGACCTGATGGATAACAAGAAACAGACACTCAAGCATGGTGAGAAGAGAGGTCCACGTGGTGGGACATGACCACAGATCTCACCCCTGGGGAGAGTGGGGCTATATGGTTTGATAAACTTCCATACTTTTTCAGAGGGATAAATTGTCTGAGCCAGGTAAATGGTTCCCATACGTGCCAGCTGATAGTATTTCGTCCCATTATATTCTGTCACTGCACTCTCTGCCCATCGCTAAGCTTGAGACAGAGGCCTAAGCACACATCCGAGCTATTGCGAGACACACCCCGGGGCCTGGAGCAGGTAAGAGCTAGACAACATGGACCCAGGAGTCACCAGCTGGGATCACAGGTGAGACCATCCTAGGAGGGCCGTGGAAGTTACAGGCTTGCCCTAACAAGAAGCTGGAACATGTGGCCTGGGCATTGTTGCGGGCAGCAGCTGTGAGGAACCGACGGTGCAGGATGGAAAACCAGCGAGCCTTGTTACGCTTGGACTGACCATTGGGAGAAACTCACACTGCCAACAAGGTGGACGGCAGGCCAGCAGCCTCGGGGAAAGCGGTCAGAAACAGCAGTGATGATGGCACTGACTGCTCCTTGCTGGTTTTTAGTGAGGGCCTGTGAAAGATAGCTGAAGTGAGACAAGACTAGTCTACAAGCAGATGAGACAGCTCTGCCGTCTGCGGGCCAGCACTTCCACCTCCATAGAGCAGGAGACGTTCCTGCAGAGGCCTTCCCAGGAGTCCCCAGTAAGTCCTACTGGCCCGACGATGGGAGTCACTCAGCAGAAAAGATCAGCTAAAGGGTGTCGCGTTCCCACTTGAACTCCCTGTTGCAGAAGGTGACTGCCGGTAACTTGAGGGTTGGGGTCTGGGCCAGGCACAGAGACTAGTGGATAAGATGCTGCTGGTGTAAGACTGTAAAAGAGAAGCCCTCTCATTGTGGTTACTTTCACAAGAACTGAAAGAAAATAAACCAGGAACCTTCCATGTTTCTGATGAAATTTTATCACTAACATCGTGGGCACCCTCAGAGGTCTCATTGAACCCCCAATCCAAAATCTGGTTCAGATGTTGAGACTGATAACCACACACATCAAGAGGGTATGAAAAGGTTTATTATTCATCTAATGGGACTTTCAGGGTAGAGCAAGGCGGTTCCAAGCAGATCCCAAGGTGACTTGACTGGCTGGCTTCCTCGTTCTCGCGGTGTGGGGCCTGGGGGAGGTTCCTGCGCACAGGCCAGGGCTTGTGAGGTTGGAACTTCTCAGCCGGGCCGAGGTGGCGGGCCCCTTGGCTTGTAATCAGCTTGCCCGGAGGTGGAGCACGAGGGGAAAGAGTGGGGAGACTTGACAGCTGCAGCATTCACACGGAAACAGAGCCAGCCTCTAGCACAGCCACATACACGCTGAGCGATGAAAGCCTGCGTCCGCTCCATCTCGAAGGCCGTCCAGCTCTGTGAATCTGCAGCAGCAGGCGGGCACCTGGAAAAGCTGTGGTGCCCCAAAAGCTTCAGATGTGGCTATGAGTCTGAAGAGCGCGAATTTCCTGAAGTCAAACCACAGGCTATAGAGGACAACTGACACGGAGTTTTTCCCAGACGGCATATTCAAGGTTTAACCAAGAACCTCATTTCCTGCCAGGACCTTTGCCGGATTTCCCTCCCAGCGCGACCATCAATGGACGGCTATCCATCGTTCTTGTCTTCTTCTCCAGCACTCATTCTCCCTTCTTCCTTTTAACAACAGAACCCTTCCCCTGGAGTTTTGCTAGAACATACGGCCATCTGGCTGGAGACAGCGGCCATAGCCTTCCGTGAAGCTACGTACAGCCAAGCAGTAAGTACTCAGGAATGGATTGTGCACAGAAATGATGGGTAAAACTTCCCCAGAAAGAAACAGCTTGCTCCCAACTTCCTCTCCTTTCACAGGCCGCAAGGTGGGTGGGCTTCCTTGGGCCAGCTTTGAGCACGGAGCGGACGACACCCTTGGTAATGACAGACCAGCAAGGTAGACGAATGCTGGGTCCGTTGATCACCTGGTGAAACAGAGCCGCCCTGCCCGCCCTGGACTTCTCACCTCCCCCTGGATTGCCACCTCTCTCTCATGCGCCATCATAGTTTGGGGCTCTGTTACAGCAGCATAGATGGTTTCCTCACTTAAACAAAAAAGAGAATTAAAATATTAAGAAGTTAAGCTTCTTTACCTTTTATGATCTTAAAAATGTCCTCTCCTTGTTCCTTTGGATTTTATCCTTAACGACAAGCATAAATAAACAGCCTCAACTGTAACCAGCTGTAAGCAAGTAAGACCCTAAAACCACATGCAACCTCATGAATTCAGCGTGCTCCTCCCCACTTCCAGACGTCGACCTGCAGAACACAGCCACGTAGGCTTTTGGACCTAAATAGAGGCATTTAGTTAATATCATTGTGTGAGTATCAAACAAATAAATGAACTCAGGTCAATATGTATCAACTTCCCTTTTCTCTAAAACATAATGTATGCCATGCACTATTTTTATCTACTCTCTGTAATCACTTAATCATAGGTTATCGGATTAAGGTAAAAGGGATAAAGTAGGCTTCATCGCCCACAATGTGACGCAAAGACAGTTTTTTCTGATTCCCCGTGTCGTGTCTCTGTGCTTAGAACAGTTCCCGGTGTTGCTAAGACAACAGGGATGCTGCACAGAAGACTGAGAATGAAGTCAAGGCAGCGTTGCTGCCTCAGAGGATGTCATAAATAGTGTGTTCAAGGCATTTGTCACAGTGAAACCTGTAACGCTTGAATTAGAAAAAAATTATCATACTCATTCAACGCCCTTCTGCAGACGAGCATGGCTCTGTCAATTACTTGCATTCTGAAATTAAGAAAACAGTGGTATGTGGACTAAAAGTCAGGAAATCATCATTCGCTAACATATGTGTTTCTTAGAACCCTGAGCAAATAACTGAGGGGAGCTTGTCCTTAAATTCCAGTTTGCCTTTATTCTAATGGAAGCACATCTGAAGAACATTAGAAGAAAGAAAAGAAATTACGTTGTCAGTTGTTCCTCCACTAAAGATGTACACCTCATCTAAACAAAGGCTGCATTCTACCTGGTAAACACACAGGGGAGGGTTGATGTTCACTGAGACCTGTGGTTGACACTTGGAATTGGAGCTTGTGGCAGACGGGAAGTGTGGTCTCCACAACAAACTCTGAGAAAGGCACAGAGAGCTCAGCAGCAGCAGTGATGTGAGCTGGGCCGCATCTCCAGGTTTGTCCAAGCAAACTGAGCAACAATATTCTTGTTTTAATACTGATAACACCAAGGAAAGGACAAAGAAAATAAAAATGAAATGCTTGAACTGATTTTGAGTATTTTTTTCTGACCCGAAAGAAAAAAGAAATGAAAACAGCATTCAACTCAGCTGGAAAGCGTCCTTCACATCACGTACATTCTGCTGCGCAGTCCATCAAGGTGACACGAACAGACGAATAAAGGACCACGTGCTCTCAGGGCCAGGACAGGCGTTGTGCAGAATCTCCTCCCTCTCTGAAGAAACAGCCTGGAGAAAAATGGCGGAGACGCAAAGCCGAGTGCCGGAGGACATCTTCAGGGTCTTCGGGGCCCCTGCTGCAGGGTCTCAGAAGTGCCTGGAGACTGAGCTGACCTTACAGCTGCCTTTCCTCAAGCAGGAGTCAAAGGTACCCTGTAGTGATGGAAACTGGGGATTATATAGTGAGGTCAAGACTTGTGCAGAATCCTTGTCTCCAAGGAGAAGTTTAATCTAGCAGAATCAAACGAAACCTAGAAGACACTTTTTTTAAACTCTGGTGTCCTAAGCATAAAAAAAGGAAATAGAAAAGAACACAGACCACTCTATTTTAATATATTTAAGTAGCATAAATCATAGTGGTTTATATGCTACACTGTACAATTATATACTATTACTTTCCAAAGAAAATTAACTTCTTATAGGATTTTCTGATTACTCCATACAGCTAAGAGCTCGACCCTTTGGCCATTGCCACGGCACATGGAGTACAATCGATGAGGCTCCACGTCTTCCAGTTGTGCCTGTTCCTGCTGCCACTGATGGAGGAGCCTCTCGGAGACCCTGCATAGCCGCTTCCAGCTCCCGCGCCGGGACGAAGCTCTGAGGCAGACGTGTGCAATGAGTGCAGCTCCTGTGCTCCCTTCCACAGCCCCCTCCCCTCTAAGAGGACTTGCGCTTCTTCATGGCTTCCGCCTTGACGGCCAGGCTCTTGGCACAGATGGTCAGGACCACGATGAGGACGCCCACCACAAATGTCACCAGGGGCCAGAGGAAGCAATGCAGGAGGACAATCTCATCATGCGTGCGATGCAGGAGCACATCGTCCGGTCTGCAAGGCAGTGGAGACAGGAAAGAAAGAGTGGTCAACCGCCTCGGCACGGCATAACTCTGCAACCCGGGGCCCAACTTGCCCTCTAGCCCAAAGGGAGCGATCGTCATGGACTCTGACTGTAAATACTGTATGTGAGGGTCAAATCCATTATGAAAAGTTCTGAGGTCTTGAATCAAGTTATTGGTGCAAATCTGCAAGTTATTTACGAGGTAATTTACAGGTTGAATATGTCCAAAGTGAAGCCACCTCTTCTGCTATTATTTCCTCCACTCTTAAGTTGTTTCCATCATCCTCTGTCTCGCTGACCCTTCCATGTCTGCTGGTCAAAGTGGCTTGAATCAACCTAAAAACCACTGACGGCTGGCATTCTCAACAAACCCAAACTAGACCTCTGCACTTGGGTGGGACCCAAATGATCCTAGTTTACCAAAAAAGTCAGTTAAGGGCACTGTTTGGATTCAATCAGAAAGACCTATGATCGACTCGGCTTCTCTATGTGAAGGTTTTATTAACGAACAGACAAGAGAATGGTTGAATTTCATGCATTTTTCCATGCTTCTGCGTGGGATTAACCACCATTTCAAACCACTGACCACTTTCTTGATGAATTTTGCAAAGTCTTAGCAACATATTTCTATCCTATCAATGTGGAAATTTCAATTCCAGCATCGGTCTCGTTCACAGGAAGTGAAGACGAGACCCATTCCACGAGCTGCGATCTCTCATCCTTGGTCACGAGAGAGACCCTGGGAACTTAGCTTTCATCCAAGGGGTTCACCTTTTGCGAGCTGTTTGTTGAAGGTTTGTTCAGTTATGCTAAAGGAGCAGCACTTCTTCCAGAGGGTAAGCTAGTACAGAACCATGAGTCCAAGGCCCTCAGGAACACCCGCGTCTGCAGAGCACAGGGCATTTAACAGAGAGACGCCTTCCTAGGTGCCCTCACTGATCACAGCTCTCATGACTCAAGACCTGTTTTCCCAGAAGACTGACAGAGAGCGCTGGGTACTTCTCTTCTACCCATAATGCGGCCATCACGTGGTATCAACAAAAACAGTTTTGCAGACTAGCTTTCAAATTACATAATCCTTGCCCTTTTCTTGTGCACAGTATCATTTCAAATTTTGCACAGAAAGTGAGATTTTTATTGACATTTTATTTCACATCATTTCAATTAAAATTTGTACTAAGTGAATGCAGAGTCACTGTAACAATTAAGCAAAAAGCGTTCCAACTTGCAGGAGCTACTCCTTTTTCTGAATTCCCGTAACAATACATTATCTTCAAGATTTGTGCTCCCATTAATTTGTGACATATATTAATGTACACGTCCTTCTTTCCCGTAAGGTCCTTGACTTTGTCACTGCCATTATTCTACTCATAGGTGTCAGTAAACAACCGCCACTGATGAAGGGGACTGCCCGGGTTGCAGCCTTATTATCTGAGCAACAGTGCAAGAGACTTCCAGCCTTGAATGTGGAAAGGTAGAGAAGCAGGTCCCAAACAGTCAGACCACAACAGTCATCGTCATACTGCACAGTCCTTGAAACCCCAGACCCGAACGCCAACGTGATTCTCTCCCCAGCCGTGAGCACTCACAGCCGTCAGGCGCCTCAGCTCAGTGTGCAAGGAAGGTAAACGCTGTCGCGGGTGATCCTGCCGCCTCCCTCCCTCCTTCCTTCTCTCCTTCCTCCCTCCCTCCTTCCTTCTCTCCTTTCTTGGACTGTTCTACTCCAGAATCTATTGGTACAAAGATGAGCTAGATTCTTCATCAAAGGCGAAGTTGCACAACAATGCGAATGCACTTAGTGCCGTGGGACTGTTCACTTATAAATGGTTAAAGTGGCTAAAAGTGGAGGCGTATGTGGGTGGGGGACCTTAACTTGTATTTTTAACACTATTTTAATTGATTTGCCTGTAATTTCCATCAGCGATGTGTATTACAGCTAATTTTCTAGTAAATGCCTCAGTGAGTATCGTCTTTGTGTTCCTTCTCCGTCACTATTGCTGATGTTGAATTCTTCACCACAGTACTGTACAACTGAGCCAGGAAAACAGCCACAGGTGAAGGTAGTTGGAGCCATTACGCATATTTCCTGAAACACAGTTTGAAGAACATTTACTAAAAAAGAATGTGAGTAAAAAGGAGAGAAATAATAACTGGAAATGCTGGATCCAGATATTTGTTTTATTTAGAAACTTCTTGGAGTTCCACCCCCATAAGAGCCCTTGAGGCAAAGCTTTATTTTTATATTTCAAACGACAAAACATCATTCACTTGAGTCAGCGACGTCGAATTTGTAATCGTTTCAAAATTCTGCCTTGAGATGGAAATGTTACATAAAAATGTTCGTGTTTCTATGAAAATAATGAATGTTTCTGTTTGGCACAGTTCTAAGATGCCCCACAGACCCCGTCCATGGGACAAAGGGGAGCAGAATCTGCCCCTTTGGCGTGAGGATTATTTTGAGCTGAAGGCCATTGAGAAGAAGCACATCCAAGAAAAGCTCTCTGCCCTCCCGCCATTTGCCTAAAAGCAGGACATTAATTTGTAAAGGTGCCCCCTCCCCTCTCTTCCAGGAAGGACAGAAGTTCCTCACCAGAGGCAGCTTGAGACCCTCATCAACCCAGAGAGGGCACCAGAGGAAGCCACACAACAAACGTAACTATCCAGCTCTTACCTTCCACTATCCCGTATAGTCACCTTCCCGCACACGCCGCCCTAGAAACTCAAAGTCCTTTTCCTTTGTCTTGCCACCTCTCTAAAAACTTATTGCTTCCTTTAAGACGCTATATAAGCCTAAGTTCTAACCGCCTCCTTGAGTTACTCATCCCTATGTGGCCCCATGTGTCTGCACGATGTTAATGAACTTCTCTGTTCTTCTCTTGTTAATTTGACTCTTGTCAGTCTAATGTACCGGGACCAGCCAGTGAACCTAAGGCGGGCAGAGGGAAAACCGGTTTTCCTCCCCTACAGGAAACACTTCTCTGCACAGGAATGCTTAAGCCCATCATCCAGTTACAGGATTTACTGAGGGTTTCTCCAAATTGATACTTGTGACATAATTAAAGTCTGGGTCATTCAAACTGGGCCTTCAGGGCCTTAATTGAAGGCACTCCTCTGCCTCAATTTCCTCCAATTTTATCAGGCAGCTTTCAGATGAGTTAGCAAACATTACTTGCAAACGGATTTGGGCTTAGAATTCAGTCTCCCATAATTCCATAGCAGTGGGTCTGAAGATTAACTTTTTAAAAAAAAAACCACTATTTTTGCCCACCAACTGGGAAAAAATATTTGCAAATCATATATCTGACAAGGGGTTAATCCCCATAATATATAAAGAAGTCACACAACTCAACAACAAAAAATCAAACAACCCAATCAAAAGTAGGGAGAGGATATGAACAGACATTTCTCCAAAGAAGATATACAGATAGCCAATAAACACATGAAAAGATGTTCAACATCACTAATCATCAGGGAAATGCAAATCAAATGTACCCTAAGATATCACCTTACACCTGTTAGAATGGCTATAATAACCAAGACTAAAAATAGCAAATATTGGAGAGGATGTGGAGAAAAGGGAACTCTCATCCACCACTGGTGGGAATGTAAACTGGTGCAGCCACTATGGAAAACAGGATGGAGATTTCTCAAAAAACTAAAAATAGAAATGCCATATGACCCAGCCATCCCACTCCTGGGTATCTATCCAAAGAACTTGAAATCAACAATTCAAAGAGACTTACGCACGCCTATGTTCATGGCAGCATTATTCACAATAGCCAAGATGTGGAAGCCACCCAAGGGCCCATTGACTGATGACTGGGATAAAAAAGATGTGGTATATACATACTATGGAATACTACTCAGCCGTGAAGAATGACAAAATTGTCCCATTCGCAACAACATGGTTGGACCTTGAGGGTATTATGTTAAGCGAGATAAGCCAGATAAAGAAAACACCGTATGATTTCACTCATATGTGGAAGATAAACAAACATGTGGACAAGAGAACTATTTAGTGGTTACCAGGGGGAAAGAGAGTGTAGGGGCTGGGCACAAGATGCGAAGGGCACACTTACATGGTGACTGACAAATCGTAACGCACAACTGAAATTTCACAATGTTGTAAACTATCATAACCTCAATTTTAAAAAAAATCACGATTTTTGGCATTTGAGGAACTGGATAAATGGCCTAATGAAATTTGAATATAATGCAGTAAAATCAGGATGGTGTGGAGGATGCAGGCAAAAAGCAAAAAGAGGATGATTACACCAAAGGACTCAAAAAAGTAAGCCAGGGATTTCTTCCGCGGTGTGCGGAAATGCTAACGGAGGGGGCAAGTATGAACGTCCCAAAGCAAGAGCGGGTCTGCGGGCGCCTGAGAAGGGCTTTCCAGGGCTGGCCCCGCCCCGCACCCAGCACTGGGCGTCTCCTGTGAGAGGACAGCATTTACTCAGTGCTTTCTACCCTCAGGTGCTCTGGCAGGACACTGAGTCTCCCTTGATCCTTAAAATAACCCTGGGCTGCAAGAATTTTTAATTGTCCTTTTACAATCAAAGAAACTGAGGCACAGAGAGGTTAGTTTGCCCAAGTGTACACAACCGAACAAACGACAGTGACTCGAAACAGTCTCTGTATGGTTTTACCTGCACTATTCGCCCCTCAGCCAGCCTTTCTCAGGTCTGGGTCACCTCTGGTGCTCGCTGAAATGCAGCCTCTTGGGTTTCAACCTTACTTGACTGTATCGGAATTTGGGGTCCGGGCATCTGCATTTTCGAGAAGCTCCCAGGTGATTCTGACACACAATAAAGTTTAAGAAGCACAGTGTAAAGTTCTAATAGTGAAAAAAAAAAAACTGGTGTGAAACATGAAGCTACTGAGCCGGCTCTTTCTGAGACTGCCTGGTTGAGTCTATGTCCAGGTCCTGTTCATGGTGTCCACACACTTCCCTGCAGAATGAGCAGGTGCCCTGGGACGAGACAGGAGG